TGTGTGTGTGTGTGTGTGTGTGTGTGTGTGTGTGAAAAGTTTTTTTTCCATCCTTCAATTCATTGGCCTTGAAGAATGAGCACCACAGAACTCATACCTTATGTATCTTGAAGTTAATAAACATTTGGTCTTATTTTAATATAAAAGTATAATTTGTTATTTTAAATGAAAATAAAACAAATTTAAACAAATTTCATAGATAAAAAATAAAACTGAAGGTTCAGATGTAGTACACAGTTTTGACCGCATGAGGGCGCTGCTGCTAAATAAATAAGCCAGCTCATGTCGGACATCCAGTGGGGAATCTCTCTTTGAGGAGGAATGCAGTGTTTTTCTTAATATTATTTTTAGAAATATGATTTGTTTTCTTTTTGCAGCGCGCACTCTTCGTGGCACACGCTTTGTCCGCACAACATGCACTGTTGCACAATGAGGTTACGCAATCTGCAATGTTAATATTCAGTGAGAAGGAGGGGGTGATGGATGTTCATGTCAGTGGAGAAAAACTGTGGGCTGTAAACTCGTGTGGGTTTTATGTTGCCTGTGCCGTCTACCTCCTTTGTTTTCTGTGAAGAAAAACAACAACAATAAAGAGTTGTGTAGATATTTCAGAGGTTCCTGGTTTGTGGGGGGCTGCCCTCCTTTCCCCTCCCCTCCCTGAGTCCCTGCTCAGTCTGACTCCCTCTGGGGAGGAGAAGAAACTGGGGGAGGAAAGAGGGAAGACCACTGATGTCAGGCTGATCTGGATAGTAGGAAACCCCCCTGTTACCTCTCTCTGGCTGTTCTCACTAGCTGTGGGATCTGGTGGGACAGGAGAGTCTACAGAGGATAAAGACCACCTCATCACCACAGCAGGTGATACATCTTCACCCTGGAACCGCTCAGTCCAGGGGGGAAGGTGTGGGGGGTGGCTCTGTATGAATTAGGTCGAGCACAGTTTATTTTTACTTATTTAWTATGGTGGCTTTATTTTTCTCTCAACGCAGTCCCTCGTCCCCTGAAGCCCCACCCAGTAAACCCCGGAGCCGGGCACTGGATGTCGGTCCTGTTCTGTGTCCTCCTCCAGCACCGGGGATGGCTCTGAGGGGATCACCGAGCCCAGAACTGGGAGTGCTCTGCTGCTGACTCAGCCTCGGCTGCTGCTGCATTAATTTATCTGCACTGCAGTGCTCAGCCACCTCCCATCCTCTCCTCCTCCTCCTCCTCCTCACCTCCCCCTCCCTGTCTGAACTTGCCCCTTCTCTCCTCTCCACCTGACTCTCACACAGCCTGTCTTCTTCTTTGGCACATTTTCTGCTCGATAAATAGAAAAACACGGGCTCCACGTGCAGGGAGAGCACGTTAGCAAAGAGGCAGGTATCATTTAATGAAAACCTTTGGAGAGGAGGGGGAGGGGCTTAGAGGAGACCACGTGACTCGCGGAAACTGCTCTAAAAATTTAGCTTTTGCTTTTCCTTCAGCAAAATCTCCTTCATTTGATTTAGCTACAAAGTGACAACAATTTAAAAACTCTTGAGTCTAGGACTTTTAATTTCTTTATATATTTTTAAGGTACCAGACTTTCTTGTAATCTTTAGTGGTTGTGTTCAGCATTTTTTTCTGGCTTTCTGAACGTTGTTCAAAAGTTTTATTTGCTGCTTTTTCACTTATGTTTAGTCCATTACCTGACTATTTAATCCAACTAGGAATTATTCAGGCTGGCATAAAAACGGCTCCTAAATTCAATAAACCCAACCCAGCAAAGAAATACTTTTACATTGATCTTAGGCTCACCACAACAAAAATATATCAAAAAGAAAAAATTTGTATAGGTCTTCTGGACAAGTTCTTCTCTAATGAAACGTTTCGTCTCTCCTCCAAGAGACTTCTTCAGTCTGAGAGTTTCAGGCAAAATTCAGGCTTTTAAGCMCTGCCTCCATGTGACTGATACTCACATCACATGGCTATCGTTGACACCTAATTAACACTTATTGTTAACAGGGGGTGGAGTGATACTGGCAGTAGCCGCGCTGTAGGAGGGGGACAACTGAAAACGGAGGCCTCCACCTCTGTTTAATGATGGACGGTCTTTCTTCACAAAAATGGCTTCTTTTACTCCTCTCTCAAACCAACGTTCCTCTCTATCAAGAATGAGAACATCCTCATCTCTGAAAGAGTGACCGCTGGCCTGTAAATGAGTGAAAACTGCAGAGTTCTGGCCATTAGATGTAGCTCGTCTGTGTTGGGACATTCTTTTGAACAGTGGCTGCTTTGTTTCCCCGATGTATAACTGGTCACAGTCCTCCTGGCACTTAACAGCATATACAATATTGCTCTGTTTGTGCCGGGGCACCGGGTACAAACAGAGCAATGTTGTATATGCTGTATAAGATCCACTTGCATATAAACAAGTGGATCTTGCAGCATTACCGCTAACTGATCAGTAATCATAAATTTGAGGACATATTAATGTTTAGACACTAAAGCTCTAGTCGGTAAAAAAAAAAAATTAAGAACCTGTGAAGTACGTCTTAACAGGGGTTTCAGTTTGTCGCCTTTTGTCCTCTTCTTGTCGGCTCACTTCCTGTTTTTTAAACACCCACTGCACAGTTTCCTGCAATCAAGTTCACAAAACTAGACAAAAATGAGTGAAAAAGCAGCCAAAGTCCATTAAAACTTGAAGACCTTTAGAAAACACAAAGAATTACTGATAAGAACGACTACAAACATCTGCCTGCTTGAAAGGACATGAAAAAGAGGGACACTTTAAAACATTTGGACAGTATTGTGAACCCTTGAGGCCATAAGTTTAGTATGAACCACAAACTTGAGCATCACATATGAACTTAAATCCATTTTCTGTTAGGAAAGCAGACAAAAAACCTGCAACTTCAAATAGTCTGAAAAGCTAATGCAGAAATGTGTGATTTTGAAAACCAAAAGAGCCGACGCTGTGTAACTGGAAGGCTGCTTTATTGGTAAGAAAAAGGTTCGTGCTCAAAATGAAGACAATCTTTTGTATATTTTGAAACCAAGAGTCCAAGTGGTTGTGCAACACACCATCATATTGTACTGTATATCCTCTTTAGTCACGGTGTCAAATGATAACAGTTTGAAAAAGCACTTTTGTTTTTTTGTTTTTCAGCAACAAAAAAAAAAAAAAGAAAAGAAAACACAAACCATGCTTAAAAAAACCAGAATAACTCTTATTGATACAAAAATAAATTTCAGATGGAAACAGAACTACAGATGAACTCAAACCAAACTATAGAAGGCAAGCTGCTTTTTCACTAGCCAAGTGAGTGACACACAYACAGCACTAAGAACAGGACGTTTTCTTTTTTATTTTTGAGCTAGCTGTTTTTTTGTTGTTTTTTGTTTTCTGTTAACATCACACACTGTTGGATATCAAGAATGAAGTGGAGGGTGTCTGGATGATCCTCCCCCTGATTATTCTTATACTAACCCCCCCACCTCCCCCCAACCCCTGAAAACGTGTTTTTTTTCCCTTGTAGTTTATCTTCAGTGTGGCATTGACATCCAGATTTGCAGAAAAAGCAGAAAAAAGGCACATGCCATCGAGTGGAAGAATAGAAACAAACGAGTTGATAAAATAAGAGCGAGGATGACAACATGACTGCRTGTGTGTTGAGCTGTAATGGCACTGATGTGTGTGTTTTCTGGGGTAAAAGTTTGTTTCCAGTTGTCCTTCAGTAGAACTGGTGGGCAGTGAAGAGTCACCTTGGTGGGKTTTTTTCTTTCCTTGTGACTGTAGGTGTGTCTTGGTAAATATAAGAGTTARGTGAGAAATGTGCTGGTAACATTTTCCTTTTTGTCATGATCAGGCTACATCCAKTAACATTGAGCTAGTTCCCCAACATAGAAGAGTGCTGGAAACAACCAGTTTTAGACAACCACAGAACGTGTTGCACATAAAAATCAAATGTGACAGTGTTCTTCTGCTTTATGTATATACATATAGACATATATGTATACATGTATATATCTTTTGTGTTATATAATATCTATATTTCATTCAATCTCCATCAACAAAGTGAAAAGTGTCTCAAAAGATCCAAAAAGTAACAAATGTGACAAAGGGCATAACTGGAAGCCATTCTATATTATTGTTATTATTCACTTTTTGATTATTAGTAGTAACATTTTTAAAATTCTGTATTTACAAAAAAAACACAAAGCATGCCRATAAAATAAAACAATATAATACAATATTTATAGCTTCTCTCAAAAAGTTCATTCTTTTTCAACGTTTGTGCCATTTACAACATAGCCTGCACTGTACATATATTTATTTATTTTTTAAAATCTTTTTATATTTATTTAAATGTGAATGTATAATTCTAAAATAATACATCCAAGATGAACACGGGTAAATTGGATGACGTTGCTCGCTCCTCTTGTGGTTCTCGTTTTGGGAATGTTTTTGGTTTCAGTGCGCAGCCGCCTCCGATTGTAAACAGACCTCATTTATTGTTGTAGGCRGACGGGGAGGTTTGGGACAGGCAGTGTTCAAACACACCAAAACGGAGTTAGTGGTGCGACGATGGATGCCAGATTTAAGTCTGGACAACCATTTAGAAATAGGACCATTGCTCCTGTGTAGAAAAGAAATGCAACATTTATAGAGGAAGTTGTGTCTCAATCACCACTCAACTCCTCAGATTTACCTTTATTATTTTATTTTTTGTCTCCCTATGTAAAAACACCCACAAAGCTTATTATACAACATAGCTGCTTCAATGTGAGGTCTGTTGATGATTTTATTTTATTTTTTCTCAGCAACTCTTAGCTCTTCTACCCTCYGTCTCTAGCTAAGCAGGTGAACGAGTTTAAAAGATGGTGCAAGCCTGGCTCCAAGACCACACAGTGTTTAAGAGGTCCCACAAAAGCACAATGATACACTGACAAACATGGGACTTTCAGCACTCTGACTCAGACCCAAAGCACCATCGTCGTCCTCTTCATTTGCCCTTCTCTCTCATTATCATGGCAGTCAGTCAAGAACACCGAAGGGAGGGTCTCTATCTATGTATTGGTCCACATTTGAATAGTTATTGAAGCGTTCGCCTCCCTGAAAGAGCCAATTCATTCAATTCGACAGCCCAAACCACAGGTCCGGCACAGCGATATGCTTCCTATACACGCTACACACAAGACGCATCCTTGTCATCATTTTCTGCTACCTCAGCTGAATCAGATGGTCAGTGTCACTTCAACTGATCGAAAGCCTTTCCTGAAATGATTGCATCACTTGGACATCAGTAAAAGTCTTCAAGGCTTCTCTTTTCTCTAAAGCTGAAAAACTCAAATTGTCATAAAAGCCCAGCCTAAAGCCTCCTTCACGAGAGAAATTTTTATGCCGATTTGATTCAGCACAAAGCAATTCCCTTTAAGGAAAGTACTCAGCAATGTCTTTGCCTTCGCATAGTTTTCAGTTCTACTTGCTCCAAAACACCCATAGAAAAATAAAATGAATGAATATTTCTGTTCCCTCTGCAGGAACTGCAGGAGTGGCGCATTGGACTCTTACTGGCTCCGGATACGGATTCCTTGGCRTGAAACATCTCCTGCTCTCACTACTCTAACAGAAGCAAATTAAAAAGGTAACCTTTAAGATGGCTGTAAGTAAACAAAAKACCTAAACCTAAGATCTGCTTCCAAATCAGTGCAGCCTCAACATGAGGATATTCTAATGTCTAACACTCACACACTCCACGTTTCTTTCTACACTAACGACATTCAGAGCAGCAAAAAAAAAAAAAGCACACACTTTTCTATTGCACTGTTGGCTGATCCGACTGAGAATGAGTGCTTATATTTTCCATTAGGAGCTGAATAAAATCCTCATCTGTTCAGAAACAAAGGCAGTGAAATGTAGGACCTTACAGATACAGTTCCTAAAATATTCCCTTATATCATAATCCAAAAGCTTCACTTTCCATTTGCATAACATTCTCAGCGGACAGCCTCAAACCTGTAGTCAAGTCACTGCAGTGGTCTGAGAATTCGTCTTGTGGACTATGATTACTCATGCATGATTCCTGATCAAAACATGCCTTCATGCAAGTCATTTCTATGCATTTAACAAGCACAAAAATTAATATTTTTCTGGAACTCCRACTGAGCGAGTCTTCCTTCAACCCAAGTCAAAACACTGACTAATGACCCGCACCTGCTCAGCGTGACAGCCCATGTAGAAAATGTYATTTTGAACGTCAGCAATACAAAAAAAGAGGATGAAAAGACCAGTGATGTGGGCTAAATGTTTTTTGTTTTGTTTWGTTTTTTKCTGCTCWAATAATGTGAAGATGCCAGTTTACTCTGCAYGAACAAAAAAATAAAAAATTTTCATCTACTGTACTGGTTCGTACTCCTCCCCTCCCTATAGCATCCCTCAAAGCTAAAGTTTTTTTTCAGCTGATTTTTGTTTTCTTCTTGATAAAGATTGGTAAACTCAGTGTTGCAGACCCACACTTAGACTGCAGTACAGTTCTTTGGGGATCTGTGTGATCCAGTCCCATAGCAGTGGAGCTTGGCAGCGGGATTCCACACTGGGTGGTGGCAGGTATTTCACAATATTTTAGCAGTGATAACTGTGGCAGTTGGTCCCCAAGGAAAAGGTGTGCCATTGGCCAGCACATTGAGTCTGTTTTTTTATTTATTTGTATTTACTTCCCATTTCTATGAACTTGGTCACTATGCAGCAAGAGCTCCACAGTAAACTGATTGTGTTTGGTTCAGCTGTCAGTGACAACATAGGAAACCTCATTGCCTCAGTAGTGGTAGAGTATGTAAACATTTTTTGTGTGTTTTTGTTTGTTTGTTTTCTCTTAATGATTTTTTTCTACATTTGTTGGGTGTCTGGGCTCAGAGTCTCATCTCGTTGTGTTTCACTGGGTCCTAACACTTGGATTCCCACTCCTCTTTTTGATTTTTGTCTTTCTCTTTTTTGGCCCAGTCTTCTTTGCTTTTGTCCTGCTTCTCTTTGTCAGGTTTGGTCACGCTGTCGTACGACGGCAGCGAGGCAGTGGACGGTGTGCTCTCCTTCTTCTCTTGGTTGGCCCCTCCATTCTCCAGCCTGTTACTGGACAGAATGCGCTTGAAGATGATGCCGCGCCTGATCAGGTGAGCACGATAGGCGTTCTGGATGGTTCTGGCAGAAACGTCCTCCTGTTTGCGGCGGAGGGTGGTGGTGATGGGTTCGTATGACACCTTGGAGGGGTTGGCCGCCACAAAACGCTCCTCCATCTGTGTCCTCAGCATGTCCAGCTCACCACTGTCACCCAGCACACGCTTTGTGAAGGCAAACAGGATGTCCAGGCAGTGAATGCGATCACCACTCACCATGGGCATGTCCATGGCTATTAGTTCTATGGTGTTGGGCTTTGGCACCCGAAGCGGGTGCTCCAAAGCGTCAGCAAAGTCAGGCAGCTTGGCAAAACTGATAAACTGAGAGGCAGTGGGATCAAACTTCTCCCAGATCTCATAGAAGGTTTCAAAGTCATCCTCGCTGAGTGGATCAGCACTTTCCTCTGTGGCCACGCTGAAGTTCTCCAGGATGATGGCGATGTACATATTAACCACAATCAGGAAAGAAATKATTATGTACATGACAAAAAAGAAGATCCCTACAGAGGGGTTACCACAGTCACCCTTCACTGAAGTACCAGGGTTCTCCAAGTTGAGGTCGCAGTCCGGTGGGTAGTTGAGGATTGGCAGCAACAGGCCGTCCCAGCCAGCAGATGTGGTGATCATAAACAAGATGATCATGCTGTTGCCAAAGGTTTCAAAGTTGTACAAGTCATCAATGCCGGCTCCATGTTTCACATAGCCAAAGTTGGACATGCCGAAAATGGAGAAGATAAACATGACCAGGAAGAGCAGCAGGCCGATATTGAACAGAGCTGGCAAGGACATCATCAGGGCAAAGAGTAGAGTCCGGATGCCCTTGGCTCCTTTGATGAGCCGAAGAATACGGCCGATTCGAGCCAATCTGATCACCCTGAACAAGGTCGGTGACACAAAGTACTTCTCAATGATGTCAGCCAGGAACATACCTGAAAACACAAACAAGAAAAATAAATTAAGAARCTCTCAGTAAAGCTAAATTCAGAAGGTAAGCCTTTTTTTAAATCATCTGCTCATCGCTTGCCGTCATCCACCTCACTCACCCACAATGGACAGAATGACCACCACCACATCAAAGATATTCCATCCATTGGTGAAGTAATAATGCCGCAGGGCGAATAGCTTCAGCAGGAACTCCGTAGTGAAAACTACAATAAAGATGAAGTTGACCCAGTAGAGGACTGTTTCTGTTTGTTCTGACTGATCATCTGTCTCCACCATCATGGTGACCATGTTCAGGCAGATTAGGATCATAATGGAGATGTCAAAGACTTGCTGTGTCACAAAGTCAAACACCAGTCCCTGGACCTTGTTCTGCAAAACAAGAAAGACACAAAGTGGAATGAGGCTAAGATTTACTGAGGAGCCGAGAAACAGATGCATATTGTATTAATACTTGGCACACAGTAGCAACCAAAAAAAACAGCATACCTGCGGTCGAGGGATAGGTTTTTGAGGTTTTTTGGACCCTAACTTTTTCATTGCGTTGTAGTACTTCTTTTGTTCCTCTGTCATGAAGATATCCTGACCTCCAAAGTAAAGAGATAAACAAAACCTTCGTTATAACCATATCCAAATCTTAAAGTTAAACAGAACTTTTAGAAACAGAGCAGCTCTTATCTTTTTCTTCTGCTGGTTGAAGTTGTCAATGATCACACCAATGAAGAGGTTGAGAGTGAAGAAGGACCCAAATATGATGAAGACAACAAAGTAGATGTACATGTAGATGTTGACTTCATAGTCGGGCTGGTCTTCCACCTTGGAAAATGAAACGTTTAAATATGAGGTCACGTTCAAGAAATGGTTAGAGCAGTGGTCCCCAAACTACAGCCTGCGGGCCGGATCCGGCCCGCCTCCCCATTTGGTTTGGCCCCCAGAACAATACCAGAGAGCATTTAGTTTTTTTTTTCATATTTGTGTATTTATATTTGATTATAAAGTTAGACTTTTGCAATAAAATTTTCCTTAACTATGAACTATTTTCATTATTAATATTAGTTAGTAACTATTTCATTCATACACGCATATAACGTGACATTCTGTTCCACCCTTCTGCGGTCTGTGCCCCTATCTGGCAACCCCCAGAAAAAAATCCTAAACCCGCCCCTCTCAAAGAGAGAACAGAATAATGGCGAAAAGATTAGGTAAGAGAAACATTGATTCAGAATGCAGGGCATTTAAACTGCAGCTTAAATGCTGCAGTGGACAAATGATTATTTTTTTTGTTCATCTGTTAAGAGGCGGTGGTGGTATTCAAAGAATACAATCTGYGGCGACACTATGAATCCCGTCACAAAGACAAGTATGATAGCTTGCAAGGCCAAATGCGAGCAAACAAACTCTCAAAGCTAAAAGATGGACTGTTAGCTCAGCAGAATACATACTGTGAAGAACCCAGAGAGGGGTATTTGATTGTGCTTTCTGGAAAACAATACATTTTTACATTTAGGCACTCCTGCAATAGTCACACTTTTTCTGTTACAAACTGACTCCAGACCCCCACCAGAGAAGGGAAAAGTTATGTGGCCCTTACAGGAAAAAGTTTGGGGACCCCTGGGTTAGAGTTACAGGAATCATGCTTCTTTGCTGTTTTCAAACAGGTTAGCTTAGTTTAGCATAAAAACAGAAAAAAGAAAAACAGCTATCTAATCCAAGCTGACTAAAGGTATTAAGTAACTGGATCCAGGCAATCATCTACGCATCTTTTATGGACATTTAGGTTTTCCAGCTGCTGCAGAATCCAAAAACAATCATATCTGCTATTCATAATTAGCACCCAATGCAATGAAAGGTGGGCAGAAATGTACTGTAAATGTATGTGTGTTCTTCTGTAAGTAAAATTTTGTGTGAACCACTGGAAAAATTGTATTGATGTGCCGCTACAACTGATTACCTTTTTGAGTCAACTCCATTCTTGATGGCCACCACAGCTAATCAACCTTAGCAAATATAAAAATAGCCCTAACACATTCAGTTTTGCAGAWATTGTGCTAAAATTTGGTRTGGTAGTAGCTGTGAGTCATCCCTAACACAWACTCTGATTGTGCAAGATCTTTGATTAAAATTTTGGCATGTAATGTGGCTAGTGATTTGCAATAATTCAAGAAATTTTACTTTACATTTTGGTGAGATTTTCCCAATATCACATTTGGTAACAATCTAAACTGTAATGCACTGATGAATTAATGTTTCTCTCTATGACATGAATTACTTGAATTAGTTTGAATCGTGACAGCCTGAATGTTGACAGAGTACCTAAGTGAGATTTCTTTCAAAAGAAAATGAGAAAATGGAGATTCTTAATTATTTTAACTCATTATTTATAACAATCTTTGTTGCATGAACATATAAGTTTATAAGCATGTTCTTTCTTAGCTTGCATTATAACTCCATCTTTAATGTTTCAAGTGGCTGTATATCTCTTGGCAAGAAGATGAATATAGCTACTTGTTTAAAGCTCTTATTCATTGTCACACATACAGTTTGCCAATAGATCAGCATTTCAATAAAGCAGTAAACATACCGCTCTGGAATCCACAGCAGCGTACATAATGTCCATCCAGCCTTTGAATGTGGCCTTTTTAAAAGGAGAAATGTGATTATATGCATAAAATTGTACAAATGAACAAAACAGACACCTAAAAATAAAAAATATGTATACTTAAATGATTGTAGCCGTTAAAGAATAGTCAAACTCAAACCGAAACTGATGCATGTCCTGTGGTACAGCTTATGGAAAGAAACATATATGAAGACCATGTGAAAGCGTACCTAAATACACAATGAACACAAAGAAAAGGTGTTGCATAATGCTGAGAAGGCAAAAAAGCAAATGGAGTTTAAAGCAACAACAGACCTCCAGGTGAAGTGCATAAAGCATATTTAATTTGTGTAAAAGGAAAAATAAGAAAAAGAGTTGGCAAGCAGAAAAAAAAGAAACGCTGAGTCATGAGAGGAACGGAGGAGCGAYGCTCTCACCACTTGCAACAAGGCGAGGTAGCCGGCGCCCACGTTGTCAAAGTTGATCTTGACGTTCTTCCACCTGACTTCAGTGTGGTTCTCGCTAATAAGTGCCTCACACTGGGTCTTGTTGTTGACCACGTTAACGGAAAAGTATTCCTCTGACGTCTCATTGAAACAGTAGTAGTACTTGCCCGCAAACATGTTGACCCCCATGATACTGAAAATCAGCCAAAAGATGAGGCAAACCAGCAACACATTCATAATGGAAGGGATGGCACCCACCAAGGCGTTGACTACCACCTAAACCAGACCAGGAAAGAAAGRATACGACAGTTTGAGAGGCATGAAAGCAACCCGCTTCATTTTACCCCCAAGATAAATCACTACATACTGTTATGGCATGACACTTAGTACTTAAAATGCTAGTATTATAACTATTTTAACAGTGACTATGAAGAGCAGCAGTTAAAAAAGGGGTGTAATGTGCAAACAGTAAAAAAGGTAGCAGATTAAATTTGCACTGATCTGAGATGTTTTTTAATAAGTTAAAGAATGTAGCTTGAACTTTACTATAAAAACTGAAAAACACAGTCATACTGTCTACCAAAAGCCACTATGTACAATCTGTACAAATGAAATTAGGTAAAATGWTAAATTCAGGTCTTTGAATAAAACATACTTATCATTATAATAGCCAGAATTGCAAGTATATATTCTGTAATTGTACAAATTTCTTTGTAATTATTCTATAAAATGTTTAGATGCACACATTTACAATTCTTTGCAGTGCTTTTTTTCACTAGCTTTTTCTATAATTTTGAACTTATCAGCCAGCTGAAAGTTCCTGTTATAATATCAAATATGCAAACTGCATGCAGTATTTRTTAGAGATGTCTGCTAGCAGTGTTAGCATTAATGCACTTAGCAGCACATTCAGCTGGCATGTTTTTAAAGCAGCACAGTCTGAAGTCCAATTAAGAGCAGTATACTGACTCAGTTAGGCTCATGTGTCCACAAGTAACATGAATARAGATGATTATTTAGTCTGACTGAAGAAGTACAAGAAACTATTCYCAAAAGCACCTGAGATACAAAGAAATATGTTTGTGTCTGTATAAATATCATATTAAGGCCCGTTATCAGCTGACCACTTGACTTGATCAGCATGGAGGATTAATAATCTTGACTGGGACAAGACAACCCTAATATTTATCACATTATAGTTTATTGTGTAATATATTTATCATTTATTCATCTTAACATGAAATAACCAAAACATTTAAYGGTAATGTGAAGAATGCATTTTAATATGCTAAACTCCTAATCAGCATGTATCTACATTGGTAAAAACAACTTGTTAAATGGACATAAAAGTGTTTTACAAGTTGTATACTTTCTTTCATGATAAAGCAGTTAAACTGCTGTAAGTTAATATATCTGAGTGGAATCAATAAAATAACTAAAGGACTAATCCCAAGTTTGACAAGAATTTTTTTTCTTTTTAGATTTAAGTTGGTCTAACTAATTTTGCTTCATAAAGGTTTTTCATTCAATAATTACGTCTAAATTAGTTTGGCCCCCAGGTAAAGTAAAGGCCAATGAATGTAATAAT